GTGGTTTTAATTGCGTTGATAATGATGTTTGCCAATTCCTCGTCGAACGAGGTAATTATTATCGCGGATGGTTCGTTTTAATTTAACGACCGCTCCGATGGTATCGTGTTTACACAAGTTCGTTCAATGGAATTTAATTTCTTATTGTATTGGAGTAATTCTAGGTTAAATTAGAGCACGTATCGAGTGAAATAATAGTGATTGGACTTTTCCAATTTGCTGTTGATCGAATCCAGTTTGGCGATAATTGCTTAATTCGCGGAACACTAGCAATTAGAATTACGCACAAATTATTTTAAATGGACAGCGGTTAAATAAAGAAACTATGATTAATTAGCACTAGGATGAAGGCACTGAACAAGTTCTCTATTTCTCACAACCGACGCCCATGACCGCTTAAGAGAGACTGAAGGTTCCGCGATTCGTGACTGAGCGGCCGAAGTCTAATTAGGTGCAAATGCATAAACAAAATACTGTGCCAGGTACGGTTCAGTTAAATTCAGTAAACTCATTCGGTAAACCGAACATCATTATTCACGCAAAACAATGAGATGCATATTAACCCAGGCAGGGTCCAATTCTCGCTTCATTATCAAAAATATTTCATCACAAATAGTTCAAGTGTAATTTAAACGAAAAAATAGTTTCAGCCGTGTGACATCAACAAGACTACAAAAATATAATGGTATATTCAAAATTAGCATTTTCTGAACCCTTCCAAAGTGGAAAATAAAATTATATCGTAATTCTCATCTAAATTTGAACTCCTTCGCCAAGTACTCTTCGATTAATTACGAAAACTTCATTCACTGAATCGATTGAAACTATAACCTACGCGACTAACTTCAATTTTCCGAAGACATTCCGTAAGCCAGTATCGATCGATCAGCATGTGAGATTTAGATCAGCCTGTGGCGCATAAACCAACGTCGTAAAAGATAATTACGCGAAAGAAAAATCGACGACACGTCCGTGGTTTATTTAGACGCATGTCGAGGTAAGAAAGAGTAAACATAACCGAAATTGAGTATATAAATAATCGTGCGCCTTCGAAGCAGCGAGGGGAACGGAACGAATTATTCTCGGGGCCCGCGGCGATTGGAGGCGCTCAATAACGATCAATAGCGTGTAATTATTTCCAGGATAGAGCGAGAATGTGAAGAAATAAACGATCGAGGAGGTGTATCCTGGGTGGTAGATTAGAAGTTTTCGAGTTGCACGGATGTTGAACGGCGATGGAGCCGTGCCTGCGGCCGAGACTTGCATACTTAATGACACGAGCGAGTCCGTGGCTATTTCCTGTAATAAGGATCTTCGTCCATCTGCGCGGATCTCGGAGTGAGCACGAGAGGAATAAGAAAGATAGCAGAACCCGTGCCGCATAATCCACGAGTACGGCTAATAACCGAGTCGTTGGATGATTCAGCGGTTCCAGCAAAATACTAATTGTTCAACGCACCGCACTTGTAAATCCGAGTGTTTGTCGTGCAAAGCGAGAGGGTTCCAGCGATGCACGTTTCCGAGGACTAAATGACACTCGTTTGCGATCCCATCGCGAAGAAGACGAAGCATTTAAAGCGTGTAAGTGCACTTAATTTTTATAAAGTTGCTTTTATGTATTATCTAGGCAAACTTCTTTTTTAAGTGAAATTCATTTGGTGCATTGTATTACTAGGTTGCTTTTTTTTCATTAGATTTAAACTGGTTTGAAATATAACTACGATAAATTAAAATATTTTCTACAACAATATTCATCCTGCGACGTCTTATTATTAAATCGTTCGACGAAGTAATTGTAATATACTGGAAATTATTGAATCCGGTTTAGCTTCGGGACAAGGATTATGTACTTGCACGACGATTTATTTATGGAGAAAAGAAATTTAAAAATACGTAAATATTATATCACCACTATAAACACGTACTCATTGCCCTTAAATAGGTTTTAAGTGTGTGCAAATTAATTGCAGCGACAAGTACATTTTTCATGTAGATACCTGATTTATTTGTTGTAAAAGAAGAGTGCGTGATAAGAAAGACGGAAAGCGAGAAATTGCGACACGTGCAAGGAAATAAATTGTAAATTACGCAATGAAAATGCGCAGGTCGATAGTGTGACCAGTTTTCGAGCAGTAAAATCGTGAATATAATATTGACATAAACGCTGCTCTGGTGATTTCAACGCGTGGCAACATAGCTGGGGAACAAGTTATTCCATTTGAACCGTTTAGTCTCATCGAGCGACATTTTATATAACGTTTTCGAGTATAAAACTTTCATTACGTAACAATCTAAAATTTGCTAATAGTCAAGAAAGTTATGTATAAAAGTTATTGAATATACAGTCAGTCCCTTAAATATTCGTATCCTGTGAGTCTATTACAAGAATATGTCCCAATTAAATAATACGTTTGATATTTCCAAATTAATGTTTCATTACAAATATGTACATGAATAAACATTACACGTGTATATTTTTATAATGAAAAATTTATTTGGAAATATCAAATCCATCATTTCATTTAGACTTTCATCAATCGACATAAGTGGTACGAATATTTATGGGTCTGACTGTATACATGATGAATCGCCTTTGGCAATATAAATACGTTTGAGCAACATGAAAAATATAATTAATTTGATTACTGATCGTCCTTGAATTTCAAGTTCATGCGAACAGTTGTGTACGCGATCTAACGAGTACGGGGAGCGGTACCGTTCACCTAGGGCGATTAGCAGAACGCGAATCAGGCACCGAAACAAATTTTTCACGCCATCGCGGTTGCGAGTGCTCGTCCCGTTGTTACTGCGGCCGAAGAATCTCAACGCGAATTCCGTCGCTGCTAATCGCAGCCGATCTCACCAGGCAACGCTTCGTCGAAGTACCCGCGAGTCGTTTAACCTTATCCAAAGAAGCATCTGTGTTTCAGTTATAGACAAAACTGTGTACATATTCAGACAGGGCTGCGATCGTCGGACAATATCTCTGATCCGCGGGCGCTGATAATCTGCGGTTATGTGTCTCCGCGACATACTTATTCAATTAAACCGCCATGGTACATTTGGGAGCCAAACAGAAAATATAAAATGAAATAGAAATGAAATACATAAAATAATAAAATAATGAGATAAATCATTTTACATACGTAAAAGGCATCCTTTTACATCCAATCCACCGAATTCTTTCCTTAATTATTTTTCCGGGCACAGGGCGTACAATCAGCCTTTTGTTTCGATGACACGAAAGGCAATGCACCCGCGAGTCGTTCGACCTTATCAACGAGGCATCTGTGTTTCATTCGTAGATAAAACTTCGTACACCATCGTAGACGCGTCGTGATCGCTGAGTAATATCTCTGATCCGCGGCCGCTGATAATCTCCAGTTATGTGTCTCCGCGACACACTTATTCAATTAAATCGACTGCTAAATATTCCAGTTATCCTGGCCAACCACGCTGCGAGCGTTAACCTACATCTCGAGTCAATTAATTACATTCTAATAAACGCTGGAGATAAAGAGTGACGCTAACTATTTATGCGTTGCGTGACTGCTGAATTGTTAATCGAAGTCGATGCCCCAGCGTGAGTTCGCGTCGATACGGGAATGTTCACCAACCGATATGCGACTACGGAGGAAACCTAATTTTACAGTCAAGATGCGAGTATTCGAGATTCTAGAATCTTGCCTGGCCCGAGTAGGTGGGACGTGGAAAATGACGTATGTAGTTGGCGGTTGGATAGCGTCCAAGTTTATCTGGCATTCGAGCAATCTTCTTGCTTGTTATTAATGGGGATGTTCGCGATAAGGGGAAAAACGAGATCTTGGAATTCCTTCTGTGCATGCAGAAGGGATTTGTTTGAGAGGATTGCTTAGAGACTGAGTGCATTTGGGTAGTGCGCAGCTAAAACTGTTTTTTTTTCTAGTTTGGGAAAAAGGACATTAGAAGAGACTGTGTAGGTAGCATTATGCTGTTACAGAAATAATTATATTTGAGTTGAGGGAACTTTTGTCGTGACACAAAAAATTGGGAGAAAGAGTCTTCTCGTAAAAAACATTTTCGAAATTGATTCTTTGAAATACTTGACGAGCTTCCTTTGTAAGTGCAAGTGTCAAAAGCGTGGACCTGTTGGGTAACCTACATGACTCGAACATCATCAACAATCCCCTCGCGAACAGAATATACTACATTCATTAAGTTGCTAGATGACAAGGACACCCAAGAACTGAGCGTTTCAGAGAGAAATCGACCCTCTGGAAAAAAGAAGACACTCCAATTCTTCAATTTCTGTTCAGTCACCAAGGTACTCGAGCGTCGAGTATCATAAAATCAATTACCTCGGCTGCTATCTCTCTCGTAACCGAGCATAGTGTTTCGCTGTTACGCGACATTGCCCCTCGCGTAATTAACGAACCGAGTTAATCACTTTCGAGCAGCCATTAGCCAAGAGACATCACGTGGCGAACTGGCATAATTTCGATCGATGCTGCCGATTCCATCGGTTCTCGATGTCGCAACCGAGCCCTTATAACAAGTTTCAACCGCCTCTAATATTCGGTGTACAGGGTGTCTCAGCACGACAGGAACAAGGCTAGCGATTTTTTGTGTAAAAAGAAATCGAAAACGTAGAATAACATTTTTCGGCGTGACCTTCTGTTGTCGAGTATATAAATTTTTAAAACCTGCCTGATCTACGTAAGCGTAACTATACAAAGTGAACCATCTACCCTTACAATTATAGATAGCGTTTAAAGTAACTATTTCATATGAAATGTTTATACACAAAAGTTACTTTATGTTAAGTAGAATATATTACATGTAAATTACTTTTGAGCTATCTTGCTTTCCTACAGATATATCGAGCTTCCCTTCGATACCTTAAATGAATTACCTAGTTTATCCAATTACCAAAATTATATTTTCGTAACAGGAGGACATAGAAAAGAAATTCTATTTTATATTTTTGCCACGTTATTGCACGAAGAATTTCTCTTTTACAGGCTGTGCTTCGATTGCTGGGACATCCTGTATGGCGAGAACGACAACTGCCTCGAGGAGGAGGGAAGACGACGGGAAAGAAAAAAAGAAAAAGGTGGGAGCCGACTTAGATCGTATGCAGCATGGTGTACCGAGCAATCGCTGGTACCAGGTGGATCAACGTGCGCGTACACGCACCGCTTACGCATACAACAATGCTTACGCACTGGGATCGCAATTAGCATACCAGAGCGTTCCAGGAACCCGAGGAGTCGTTCTTCTCGGAGCCCAGAGGCGCAAGGCGAGTTCGGTGACTCATTTGCCGATGCTGAACCTTGAGTTAGAGTAGAATCTCAACGGTATGTTTAAACTAATTCTTGTTTCACAAAAGGGAGGATTCACTAAATTTCACAATTTAGAGACGCGAAGGCGGTATAGTGGAAATCAATTAGGGCACTCGAAATTGTTTATCGTGGGTCCTCTTTTGGAGAACATAATGCAAATTCACGGGGGGAAAGAGCATAGGGCAGGAAGAACTATAAGTTGTTTAGAAATTGATCTTCAAGGATCTTTCTTGTCTAATGCTTGATACAGAAGACATAAAGATGAGAAATGCCATTTTTGAATGACAGTAGTTACGTTTCGAAGAAAAATTATGCGAAAGGTGTTGTAGTGACGCAATAATGACAAATAATTTTATGAAATCAGGTGAAAAGAATTCTTAGAGAAATAGTCATGGGAACAGGGTATCATTTCAAATTCGTTCGCACGATGTACCATCAGCCACGCTCGAGATTCCATCAACCCATTGCGACAGGAGAGAACTATTTGAAATTTCATCATTTATAGATCTACGACTTAAGTAACATCGCGAAGAAACAGCTTTCTCATTCACACGTTCGGTGGACAAAAGGGCCTAGCGCTAGTCTGCTCGAGGAATGCAATAAAATTATAAGTTCCCTTCGAGATGGAGAGAAATTAATACCCGGAGAATTCTGTGTGCATTAAATAGTAGAGTTATTCCGTGGAATTTTTATCAGACATTTTAATTGGATCTAAACGGTTGTTTAGTGACGACTTAACTTTTTCAAGTTTCACATATTGAGACATTTAGAAAATTTCTACATGTGCGTTCCGAGGTATCCTGGAATTCTTGGTTTTACAAATTTTATTTTTCTAAAGCAAAGGTATTAATAGGTTTGACCAGAAGTAAAGGAGAAAAGACTATGGAGAATTGTTGAAGTTATAACAATTTCACATTAAAGAAAAATGAACCCATTTTAAATGTATGATAATATACATTTATTGAATTTGAAATTTCATGAAAATGCAAAGAAAAAATTCAAATGTCACAGAAATAGTTCCATCGGTATCGGAATATTCAAGTAAACCACTTCCTAGGTAGAGTATTCCAATAAATATCTCACTAATTCTTAAGACTCTCACAGTTACTGCAACAGTTCGAACGCCAAGCAACTCAAAGCACACAGAATCAACGCAGGCAAAACAATTCCGTGTCATCGAAGGAGGAAATCGCTGAAAATCGCTTCCCAGGTCGATAACCGTGGTCGATCGGGAATCGAATCGATCGCGAAAGCCAAGGGGTGTCGCAAACGCGTGAAACTCGAGCGACAAAGTAGACTTATGTCCGTGTTCCTCGTGCCAGAGGTTACGGCGCGGTAATAAAAGTCATGCAGCGACACCCATAGAGGACGACGAGGAGAAAGAGAGCGAGACAGTCGAAGGTTTCGTAATATCCTAACAGGACAGTGAGACAGAGATGTGTGTATAATTTATGCGAGACTTAAGACCGTTGCAAAATCGGCTGCAGTCGACGTCTCGTGATTCGACACGGCTTATCGTCGTCACCGTGGCTGGACAAAGGATCGACAAAGGATCGATCCGAGGGATCGTGAAACGGACTCCCGCCGATTGATCGTCCACGTAGACACGATAACGCCTCGAGATCGACGCCAGGGCCCGGGCGATTTTCAGAGAAAGTTCTGGCGCGGCTCGTGATTTGCAATATCGAGACCCCGTGAGCCATAGCTAACTTCGTTCGAGAGGTACGAACCACTTTGTATGATAATTGCGTGAAATTGTAGTTTCGTTGCATCGGAATAACCCGGATTCCGAGTTCCGCGGACAGGAACCGTCGACGAAACAATCGTTCTCGGTAAAAAAAAAGGGGGAATTCTGACACGGTGAGAAACATCACGCGTCGAAGAAAGTGAAATTTCGCCTGTCGGGTAATTTAAATTGGACGTTTGGACCCTCTGGAGTCTGCGCAAGAATTTGAAGTGCTTTAGATAGGCAAACTGAACCTTTTCGAATGTATTCGTAACTGGGTTAGTGAAAATATTGAACACTCAAGGTGGAAATTACAATTACAATCTTATTTGATGGCAACTGTGCTAGACGCCATTATAGACAAGTTTTCAGAGTACGAATGATTGAGTAGAGAGATCCGCGCGTTGACCTGGCGATGAGTGCTACCGTCACGCATTGAAGTCACCCGAGTGGCGTTCCTATTTCTATTAATATTGCGTTCGCGACTTTATGACACGTAACAGCTGCGTTTGCCGGTTTATTCTCTCGCTGATGTCGAAATCTCAGCTTATCTACCTCGAGAATAGACGGACGTTTGTTCCGGAGATTTACAATTCCATCGAAGACTGTCATTTAAATGGCGCCAGTGGAAATCAGTAACGCGTACGGTAGATCATTGACATTTAGGCAGAGCATTGCTTAAACAGTTGATCTTTAATGGGGTTTCTTTAATTAGAATTGATTACTACTTATAGAATTAATAATAATTGATGCTTGCTATAGAAAAATGATATCCAGTTAATGATGTTTAAACCAACAAAATAAAATAAAATTCAATGAATTCCAAATTGCGATACAATAAAATATGAGCAATAAGCGTGTAAAACGTGCTTGAATCATCTTTCAAATTGAAGTGAAAGTTCAAGGACCTTCCATTTAACAATGATAGAATTTTCTTGGGGCGCTCGGGTAAAAGCATCGCGGCGGACATTTTAGGCGAGCGATTTCACCGAAATCCACCTTTCGCGGCGTATCAAGGGTATCGAGATCGATTTCGTTGAAAGTTAATGGAGCACCTCGTATGGATTTCAAATGATTTCCGGGTCAGAAACCGCGAAGAGGATGGGAAGCGTCCTCCCCGGCGCACTTGTCGTTCGCGACCGCAAAGTGCGTTGCTTTCACGAAGTTATCGGAAAAACCGCAAAACGTACGACCACTTTTCTCATTACACGCAGAGACGTTACGATTGTATAACCATAATCGAGGAACCGAAATCCTCCGCGCAATTAGGAACAACTGGTGTCGCGACGAAGAAAGTGAAAGGCCAATCGTCGCACGGGTTCTACGTTTCTTCCCTTTTTAAGAAAATCACGCGTTAGCCTATTACGTAGGAATTGAAATTTATCGGAAGCTGGCCGCGAAGTTATTGCTAGGTGGTCGATTCCGATCGACACGTGTGGTATTTGTTTTGATAAAAGCCACGGGCCCAGACGATATTTGCCAAGCAGTTGCGTAAAGGCTGTCATCGATTACGTTTGGCTCGATGGTTCGGACCAGTTATGTATATCGACGTGATAAATCTCGCTCATGGAACCTATCGGGATTCACTTAGTTGCGCTCAGTTTCCGCGGAACATAGCGAGACGCACAAGATTAATGATGCGTGGTAAAACGAAGAAGCACGATTCTACCATATGTTCGATTATCTATTGACGATTTTCAGCTGGCTTCGATGTTGCTTCACAGATCGCTGATGTGTGGACTGGTCGTTTTATTTATGGAGAAAATACAACCTGATTCTTAACCAATATTATGATACATCACTTTAATATCAGGACACGTACGTTAAGTACGAGAAATACGAGCGTTATAACTTTTATAATCGTAACGTGAGGTATGCGAGGAGGAACGACAAACTCGAGAGCGCTGGAACGGCGACTTAATGTCGTCGAAATATCGTCAAGATTATTCGTTGGACCGCAGCCGACTTGATTGGAGATGAGCAAACTCGATAAGGAGGCTGGGTCCCCGCGAAAGAATTTTCAGGGCTGGGAGCAGGTGTCGTGTACCGGGCAACCTGTTTCAAGATGGCGAGAGAAAACGACGAAACAGCCAGCCTGTCGCCTTCTACGATGTCCTGGTCCCGTATTCAAATTCTTGTTCGTCGATTCACGCTCGAGACTGGGACCGACATGGAGTGTACTGGCTTGCAAGACGTGTACCGCATTTCTCAGGTTGATATAGATAATTAAATTATTTTTACTGCATTTATTATACTTAATAATATATTAGTATTTCATGTAGGATTTGTCTGTCAATATTGAATCAATTATTTTGTTACATGCACTCTTTTTAAGCAAGCTATTTCCAAACAAGTGTCCTTCGAGTAATCTTTATACAACCTTTAAATGTCCTTTAACTAACTCTCACGTGACATAAATAACATTCACGGTTCTCCAAAACATTCTCAAGCGACATTCGACGGACCTTGATTTAACCTTTTCCCATAAACGCTTAAATCGCCGCTGGAGTTCTGTTAATTTCCCTCATTCACGATTCCTGCATTACGTTTCGAATAATGCCACGAAACGTCTACTTTATGCCCCAACTCTCGCTCCATCGAGGAAATCTGAATAAGTGTAAAGTGCACCGCGACCCAAACTGCAACGTGAAAACGTATCATCATTGTTTTCGCCGGGAGAAGAAGAATCATCGAAGGACCTCTGGCCAGGCACGTCGGAATCATGATCATCCATCGTTTCGCGGTCGAGCACGGTGGTGACCTCAAACGCGAATTCGAAGAGAACCAGTGATTGGCCAGCCCTCGCTTCATTACGACGCCGATCGTAACCACGCGAGCGACCGTTCCCTCGCGCCAACGATTCTTAATCGACATACCGCGGCACACCACCGTGCTATTACTGTAATTCAATAATGGAAAAAATATCGGTCGAAACAAGCATCGAATTAACTCTTTACGGCGTCAATTTTGTTTTATTTTTCGAGTAAGAAATTATTTATACAGCCATGAACTCATTAACACGTTGGCTGCCAGGCTGAAACTCGTGAAAATTTCTACAAAGTTACAATTTTGTTCAGAGACCATTGAAAATTAGGTAATTTAACCCTTTGCACTCGGATATCCCCTATGAGGGGACATCTTGAGTCTAATAAATTTTGTTAGTGACACCACTGCAAACATAAAGGTAGACTATTATATGTAACGCGATTCTTATTTTTGCAACGAGATGGTCCAGAGTGGAAAGGGTTAACATTTATCGTACTAATTAATTTTTTAACCTCGCCCAATTCACGAATTCTCTCCATGTTGATTTTCATTATCGCCTCATCTTTGGAATTAATTTGCTTAGTTTCTTAATGAAAAGTCCTGTCATCCATTTCTGGGTAACGTGACGATCAAAATATCAATACTGAAAGTGAGCGCTGAGTAGGATAATTATAAGAGAAAACTTGTGAAAATAAAATTCAACGAAAGAATGAATTAAAATATAACAAAAATATCCGTAGGCATATATATTCTACTCGTCGTGTTTCTAATCTCTGCCCACAAAAATCCATGCACCATATAAAATACATCAGAAGGCGACACAGGAAAATCTCTCCTCGGCGCATAGGCGTAATCCAACTTTACGGCCTCTAATGCTCCCCGACTGATTTAAAGTTCGTTCATCATCCACCAACACACGCGTCAAGAGGGAGAAAGGAAGAAGAGGGATCCCCGTGTTAGATCGAGAGGGACCCAGACACACCGCCAAGAAGTTATGGGTATAGATTATCGCCGGACAGAGAAAGGACGAAGAATCGCACAACCGTTAGGAGAGATTGAGAGATTCTCCGTGTTGGAAAGTGGATACACCGAACGGGGCGACCGAAGGAGCGAAAAAAAAAGAACGAGAAAACAGAGATAGAAGATAACGTAATCGTTCATTAGTTGCGATAATCGTTGATTTCGGTGCGCGATCGGTATCCGTGGCGTCGAAATACGCGCATGTATCGGCAATTAACACCGTAAT